TGATCTGCTCAGGTCCCTTCCGACCCTACAAACTATGAAACTATGATATCCATAGCATTCCCTTCATTCACCCAAGGCATTGCTTTTTCAAAGGAGGAGATCAGGTTTGTTTGACACACTTTGTTCTAACTAAATCCATGCTGGCTGCTTGTGATCAGCCTTTTTTCCTCCCTAAGCTTTCAACTGGACTTCCTTCCCAGGTATTGAACTGGTCTATAGTACCCCAGGTCCTCCTTTTTGCTGTTTTGAGGAGGAGCACTTTATATTTCCCTTTCTAGTTCTCTGGTATCTCCTCTCTCCAACAGCTGCTTAAATATTATTACTAAAGGCTCTGAATTCACCTCTGCCAGCTGCTTCGGTACCCTGTATGCAGAGGACTGAAGCCATGAAACTATTTGACTTTTTTTTTTTTTTTAAAGCTGATGCTTTCCAAGGAAGGAGTGAGGTGCTTAACAGGACAATGTTATATGGAGAGCTTTCATTGTTGCATGTCCCATCCCTACAGTGCAAGGTAGAAGACCAGGAGTGTCCATCAGCTTGATACTCTCAACAATGCTGAATTCATTAAAGCTGAACTGGTACTGATTCCACACCTTCCTCCAGCTCCCTTTTAAGCATGCCTGTAGCAGCAACAGTAGTAAGAATGGGACTAATTTGGTCTCTTCATGAATGAATGTAGTTTTGTTCCTTATGGTGGCTTAGGGGGCTGAGATTACCCCTTTTTCCCAAAGTTCTTGAAGAATTAAAAAAAAAAAAAAATAAAAAATTCAGTGACCAGAAATAAGTCAAACAGCTGAAATCCAGTGACAGCTACTCTACATGAGTACTTGAATGTGTACGAACAATAGTTTTCTCTAAAGAATGTGCAAGTTTTTTAGTCTCTTTTCAGAAGAGCCTCAAAAGACCTTAACTTTGTGTACAGATGATGACAAAAAAACCCCCAAACATTTTTCACTAGAAACTAAAACGTGATCTTACTGGGGAGCAGATTGTGGCTCCTTTGCCTACACCTTCTCTGCCAATACAGAACCATATTCTCCAACTGCCGTTGATTTGTGGAAAGTACAAAGTTGCATCAATCCTGGGTGTATTTTCTACTGCTCTCTAGTAGCTGCCACAATATTCTAGCCACCAGGTATCTCCATATTGCCCATGTTGCTTTTAGGATTAAACATCTTTTGTATCAGAAAAACCTGCTGAATGTTGTTTGAGCAATTGGCCAAATCAACCATGTGTTTGTTTTGTGGTGTATAGGAGCAAATGTTAATAATGGCATGGAAGCCAGTAAAACCATAACAGATATTCTTTACACACACACATCTCTGAGAACCTCTTGTTTTACATGCAAATATTGAAATTTAATTTCTTTCTCTTCTCAACACCCCTGCAGAATCAAGTGACAGACACAAATAGAAAACTACAGAATGAAGGGAAAGAAGTAAGCCCTTATTTATTTTTATTCTAAGATGTGATGGGTTTTTTGTGTACTTTTTTATTTCTGTATTATGTTGATGGATTGTGTGGTGTGGCTTCAAAGCTAAAAGCCTGCACAGGCAACATTTGATGGGTTTTTTATTTCTTCTGCAGGGAATATTGTTAATGTGTGCAGTATTTTGGATACTTGCAGCTCCCTTTCCTTGTATGCAACAAGGGTTGAACAGAGGACTCGTTATAGTTTGCTATAATTGGAAGCTAAAAACTCAGTGGAGGGGGAAAAACCTAAAAAAGCACAGAGACTTGAAGTGTTAATGGTCAAATTGTGAGCTTAATCCTTTGGTCTCACTTCACATGAGTAACTGCATTTGCACAAATGTGGAAGGATCAGGAGTATGGCAGCACCTTGGGTCAGTGCAGGTTTTGAATCGTATATGTGTGGAGGCATAAAGTCATGGCATGGGAAGTTACCTTATTTGTGGGGGTGGTTTTTGCTTGACCTGTATTCAGTCTTATTCTCCTCCTTTTAATATTAGAGGAGGAATGCATAGGAAATTTGACACTTGTTGGTGCTCTAGAGGCATTATGTTTGTAGCATCTTGATCATCCTATGAGTCTCATACCACTTCATCTTCCTTTCACTTCCACAGTAACCTTGCTCATCTTGCTTCTTTTGTTAACTAGGAAGACAGAATTCATTATTTTGTCTGCACTTCCGAGCTAAATACTTTTGTCATAGATGCTTCAGAGATCTTATTTCCCTGCAAGTGTTGGACTATTCCCAACCTCCTAGTATTTTGAAAAATGCAACCCCCTCCACTGTGTGCTGCTTGTGAGCGTGCTGCTCACATGTTCCTAGAACCAGCTCTGGAAATGATTTGCAATAGCCAAGCAGCACCTGTTGATGACAACTGAGAAGATGCAATTCTACCAGTAATTGAATGGTGTAGAATGTGGTGTCAAACATGTGGGCTGGATCTGGCCCACAGAACCAAGGCATCCAGCCCATCTGTAGTCCAGTGGGCTATTGGAAATGCACTGCCCCTTGACTCTGCACTGCCACGTGACCCTGGCTCTTCATGGACGTGTGCCCCTGGCTCCGTGCTGCGTGAATGCAGCTCCATGCAATCATGCATCCCTGGACCCACACTGCTGCCCAAATGTGGCCCCCTGGATCTAGCCCCAGAGGAGCCTCTGCATTCTGGATCTTTCCCGTGGCGAGTTTGACACGCATAGCATAGCATACCACTGAAGGGAAGAGTTAGTTTCCTTGGAGACAGCTAGAAGTAAAGGGATTTAATTAAAAAAGGGCAAATCAGACTTGACAGCAGAGAAATGCAAGTTTTTGACTGTGAGGCAAATACTGCCTTGGACATCTCTGGTTCTCGGACACAATGGAACTTTGTTTGGTAAGGTTACATCTTCTCTGTGCAGAAGGTGGCTTTCTTGAGGCCTCTTCCCAATACTATGGAACAAACCCTTTTGGGTCAAGGACTGTCTCAGATTTCACCACAACTTGCTGAGGCTCAAGGTATGCCTTTTGACCTTGCTTCAAAAAAAAAAAAAAAAAATGTAACAACATGCACACCTGAGTGTGTATGTGCATTTTATAAAAATCACAAAACAAGATGGCTCTGGGTCTTGTGGAAGCTGTTCAGATACTATGGTGATGGACTGTAGTAAAAATCCCTCAGACTCGCAATCATTTTCTGGCTTCTATCAAGCAGATGTATAGCTCTTTCACTGGGGATTAAGCTACTGGAAGTCATTGTTCATTGCTTGCAAAAAACCCTTCAGAAATAGACTCTCTTGAAACATTTGGAGAATGGGGAAAATGAGGCTTCAGGAATTCCAACTGCTTCAGATTTGCCACTTAATTGTTTTGCTTGAGTTGCATGATTGAATGAGCAAAATGTACTCCCTTCTACCAAGATAACATTGCAAAACACTGCTCGAGTGAATGCTGAGTTACTTGGTGGTCTGGAGCACAAGATTGTAGATCTCTCTTTGGGATCTTGGGGGGAGATTTAGTACAAAAATATGATCTACTGCTGTTGGTCTAACTTGGTTTTCTTTTCTTACAGTTGATAATAGCAATGGAAGAGCTGAAACAATGTCGACTACAACAGAGAAATATTTCCGCTACAGTTGATAAACTAATGCTGTGTCTTCCTGGTGAGGAAACAGTGATTAGTTGTGCAGTTTCATTTAGAGTTCATTTCTGTATATTCTGCCTTTAATGTTTTTGTCCTTCTTCTCCCCAGTTCTGGAGATGTACAGCAAACTGAGAGAGCAGATGAAATCTAAAAGGTGAGTTATTGAAGAATCACTAGTCTGTATATGCTGCAAACAGCCATTTGAAGTAGTTTTTACCTAATTGGAGTCCCAAGGGTAGAGATCAGTCTGCTTTAAAAAAAAAAAAAAAAAAAAAAAAAAA